TACCCCTGAAATCACGACGCGAACTTAAAAGACACACTGTGTAATTTTTGTTGTGGATAACAATAAAATTAAATAACTAAATACATATACTTTGCACATTTAATTTTGAATGAATATGTGTCGCACTATTTCTGTATTTATCAGTATTTTGCCCTTCCGAGGAAAAATCTTTTACGCCTCATTTTTTTCATCGTTATTAAAAATATAATTCGACACTGTATTCACATCAAAATAAATAACAAGTCGTTTAAAAACGTTTACAAAACTTCAATTGCTCGTCAGTGTAATATTTATTAATTCGACTCTTACGATTGAGATATATTATCTCTCTGGCCCACATTATAATTAATGAAATGTGAGAGTGCCCTTTGGATATAGAAAAAGTTAAACTTTCCATTGTACTCTGTAAAATAAGAGGATTAATAGTTCTAGGCCAGGAAATACAGAGTTGGACGCGGCTTTTTATTTCGGCAAGCTGAATTTATCACTATAGATGCTAAATATTATGTACAATAATACAGGGTGAGTCAGTTTTTTGTGGACAAACTTTAACAGGAGATAGAACACATGTTTTTAAAAAGAAAAGTTCCTATAAACATATGTCGTAGAAGGCTTCGTTTCCGAGATACAGGGTGTTGAATATAATTTTTTTTTCTCGAATTTTCATTATAACTTATAAACGAATGCTTAGATTTTTTTCATGTTTGGGAGATAATGCCTATTAATTAAGGGGCATAAAACAAGCGATAAGAATGTTCAAAAACTTGCACAGTGGCGGAGTGGAAGGGGTGCTCAACCCCTTTCTTAATCAGAACTTCTACGCCAATGACTATTTTTTTTAAACTGTTATTTTCATTATCTACATACAGTTTAACAAAAATAATGTCCCTTCTTCTGTTTCGAAATTCCTGTGCGTTTCCAAGTTATTTTGATTTTTAGTGTTTGATGTGGTACTAAATTAATTTATTTATTATCAATTATCGGCTAAATATTTAATTCTTTCAACGAAACCTACCTAAATATGGTTTGTTAAGGATTCTAAAAAGCCGAAATCTCTTATTCTTTATCTCTTTCCAATGCAGTCAAAATAAATATTTGTTATAGCAAGCCATACTCAAATACAAGACTTTTATAAGTTGAAATCTGTTTAGTACACTAATTTTAACACTCCTTATTTATTATGTGCTGCATAAATACTAATGTACTATAACTAAATTACAAAAAAAAAACATTGAATGAACATTGATGTTAATGTTTATGGAGAAATTTTTTGAATTTATAACAATATTTAATTAACAACTACTTAAAACTTTTTGGCAACTGCACAATAATGTATTGTATGTATGTAATGTAACAGATTTCAACTTATAAAAGTCTTGTATTTGAGTATATTTGAATATAACAAATATTTATTTTGAATGATATTGGAAAGAGATAAAGAATAAGACATTTCGGCTTTTTAGAATCCTTAACAAACCATATTTAGGTAGGTTTCGTTGAAAGAATTAAATATTTAGCCAATAGTTGATAATAAATAAATTACTTAATTTAGTACCACAACAAACACTAAAAATCAAAATAACTCGGAGACGCACAGGAAATTTGAAACAGAAGAAGGGACATTATTTTTGTTAAACTTTATGTAGATAATGAAAATAATAGTTTTTTAAAAAAATAGTCACTGGAGTAGAAGTTCTATTTAAGAAAGTGGTTGAGCTTGAGCACCCCCTCCACTCCGCCATTGTGTAAGTTTTTGAACATTCGTATCGCTTGTTTTATGCCCCTTAATTAATAGGCATTATCTCCCAAACATGAAAAAAATCTAAGCATTCGTTTATAAGTTATAATGAAAATTCGAGAAAAAAAAATTATATTCAACACCCTGTATCATGAAAACGAAGCCTTCTACGACATATGTTTATAGGAACTTTTCTTTTTTAAAAACATGTGTTCTATCTTCTGTTAATATCTACAAAAAACTGACTCACTCTGTATATTAGTTTCCACAGTCATAAAAATGGGCGGAAGATTGTTTGCAGGCTGGTTAATTGTATAATTTTTACGTAAATTCACGTTTTTTGCTTATAACTTTTTCCGTTCATTTCCACGAGAAAACAGTAAAGTACTTTTTTTTTCGTCTTCAAAAGACCTACAAAACTAGCCCTGGAGCGTATAAAAATATTGATTAGATCAAAAGTTATAAACAGAAGTTTATTTATGACTTTTGAATTAAACATTTATAAACTGCGTTATTATTACCAGAAAGTTTTGGCANAACAGATTTCAACTTATAAAAGTCTTGTATTTGAGTATATTTGAATATAACAAATATTTATTTTGAATGATATTGGAAAGAGATAAAGAATAAGAGATTTCGGCTTTTTAGAATCCTTAACAAACCATATTTAGGTAGGTTTCGTTGAAAGAATTAAATATTTAGCCGATAATTGATAATAAATAAATTACTTAATTTAGTACCACAACAAACACTAACAATCAAAATAACTCGGAAACAAACAGGAATTTCGAAACAGAAGAAGGGACATTATTTTTGTTACACTGTATGTGGATAATGAAAATTACAGTTTTTTTTTAAATAGTCATTGGAGTAGAATTTCTGTTTAAGAAAGGGGTTAAGCTTGAGCCACTGTGCAAGCTTTTGAACATTCTTATCGCTTGTTTTATGCCCCTTAATTAGTAGGCATTATCTACCTAACTTGGAAAAGATCTAAGTATTCGTTTATAAGTTATAACGAAAATTCGAGAAAAAGAAAATTATATTCGACACCCTGTATCATGGAAACGAAGCCTTCTACGACATATGTTTATAGGAACTTTTCTTTTTAAAAACATGTGTTCTATCTTCTGTTAAAGTTTATCTACAAAAAACTGACTCACTCTGTATATTAGTTTCCACAGTCATAAAAATAGGGGGAAGATTATTTGTAGGCTGGTTAATTGTATAATTTTTACGTAAATTCACATTTATAAACTGCGTTATTATTACCAGAACGTTTTGACATCGCATCCTCTCATTCCTTATCACTGTCTAATAACTCTCACGAAATCTGGAATCGGTACCTAAGTTGAATAGTTTGCAAGTTTTGGCCTTATAAATAAATTTACTAATTATTATTAGTCTGGACGATCCCGAACATCTTCCACAATCGCGCTGATTTTGTTCATGGTAGATTTCATAATAGCACATCGAAATCTATCATTTTTTTAAATTTCAAATTTGCAACCTGGAAAGTTCCTTTATTTCTTAGCCTTAGTTGCAAAATGAAATATACGACGCACGCACGTGATACAGTTGTACATATATTATTACATATTCGGAAAGCTTATGAAAAGAGCTTTAAGTTAAAAAAAAATGGTCAAGATTCGTTGAAAAACAACGGACTGTCAAATATATTATTATTCAAGCGAATTTCGCTTTTTTAACGGCATGAATATTATCGTTATTTTCTTCGGACTCGCTGTCGTTCGCTTCCTCCGCCCTTCCGCCCGCCGCGCCACGACTCGCCGAAAAAATCAAGCAACCCACTGACCTTTGACAATATTTCTTATGCACGTAACATATTACTTCCACAAATAAAATATATTTATCTGGAAAAGTACTCGGGTTGCCGGTTATGACAGTATATTTTTTTTGCCGCTACCAACCTAATTTGTTTAACAGGCCTTCAAATTTGATAGTTTGTACTCCGTTGTTTTTCAACGAATTTTAACGATTTTTTTTAACTTAAAGCTCTTTTCATAAGCTTTCGGAATATGTAATAATATATAATTATATCACAGGCGTGCGTCGTATATTTAATTTTGGAACTAGGACTAAAAAATAAAAAAACTTTCCAGGTTGCAGAAATTAAAAAATAATGATAGATTTCAATGTATTATTGAAAGATGCTCGGGATCGTCCAGACTAATAATTAGTTAATTTGTTTATAAGGCCATAACTTGTAAACTATTCAACTTACCGATTCCAGATTTCGTGTGAGTTATTAGACAGTGATAAGGAATGATGCCAAAACGTTATGGTAATAATAACGCAGTTTATAAATGTTTATGTAATTCAAAAATCATAAATAAACTTCTTCTGTTTATAACTTTTGATCTAATCAATATTTTTTGACGCTCGAGGGCAAGTTTTGTAGGTCTTTTGAAGTCGAAAAAAAGTACATTACTCTTTTCTTGTGGAAATGAACGGAAAAAAGTTATAAGCGAAAAACGTGAATTTACGTAAAAATTATACAATTAAGCAGCCTGTAAACAATCTTCCTAACTATGGAAACTAATATGTTATAGTACATAATAAGTAGCATCTATAGTGATAAATTAAACTTGCCGAAACAAAAAGTAGCGAAATGGTCATTTCCCGCTGTTTTTCCTGGCCTATTTCTGTATATTGACTTTACGTTTTTTAACATATTATCCCGGTACGTACTACATATTGATTTTATGAAAACAATTTTATTATAATAATTATAATAAACTCCGATTAAAACTATGATTATTTTTATTTTATTTATGTCAATACTGATTCGTCTTTGAGAAACAAAAGACGAAAATAAAAAATAAAGTAATGGGCTAGATGGGAACTATATCGAGAAACTTAACAAATGTTTGGCATTTAAAGTGACGACAACTAAAACTTTAGAGCAAATAAAAATTAGTTAATTTATCTTCAGGAAACAGTTTTTGAAAAAAGAACGGTATTTTTTTAAATGAGTGTTGAAATTATAAAAGTAAACTAAAGTAAACTAAATTTATATGTTATATATTTTAACCAAATAAAAGATTTTAAAACGTTATTGATTCATTTGAAATGTATTATTTATTAACAGATTTCCGTATTTATTTAATGATAAATCTATTTAATCCCGCACACGAGTCGAGTTCTTCAATATTCGTTATTAATAAATTAATAATTTTTAGAAACATATTAAAGCTTCGTTTGTATATTTTTTTAATAAATAGTAAAAGCAGATCGCACTTACCTAAAATACAAAGTAACAAGACCGTTATCCCACTGAAACTGATATTTAACGAGAACCGCATCTTTGCTTATTAGCAACTAACTGGATATTTGTATATTGTAAGCGGAAAATAAAGCCATGCTAATTCTTGGGACGCACTTTCTGGGGAGCCAGAAATTCATACTGAACTGGTCTACTCAAAGCTGCGAAGAATTTTAATAGGAGATGAATGAATTAAACACATAGTCGCCAGAGCGAACTACTACTACGAGATGGGCGAGTTTCAATAACGGGCGTTCCAGCATTCGGCGTACACGTTAACCGTTACAATTTTTTGTGCCAAATGAACAACGCTTCCTTGAAAAAGTCACTTCTTTGACGTTTGGTTGTATTTACAAGAGGGGAAAAATACCCTTCTAAGCTACGCTATGCTACAATATTTCTAAAATAGTACTTTTTCTCCAAGCGTAACAAAACTATGACAGTTTTTGACTGTCAGAAATCTCTAAGGTTGACATTTTCCTTACTGAGAAAAAATGGTATCTTAGCAACAAAAGTCTTCACTTTTAATCCTTAGATTATGAGTGTTAATCAAGTGTTAATAATTTTTGTTTATCCACACTGATATTAAATATACAGTTTAAACAAGTATTAAAATTAAATAAATTACTGAAACTGGCACCACCCTCATTCTTGGAGCAATTCTCAAAGCAGTCCAACACGTTGCCATTAATAGTTATATTGCACTAGGCACAGACATTAAGGGATATTTAAAAAAATCCCAAAATTTTGGGTGATTTTCAAAAAGCTTGTAACTTGGAGGGAAATGGTCGCAGAGAGAATAAAAAAAAAGGAAATTGAAGCTTCAAGTGTCTAGTTTTCAGATCTGCAGTTTAAAATTTTTTACCGTCAGCAGTTTTTGAATAATCATAAGAAAATCAACGGAAATTTTTTTTGTCAATTTTTGCTTTCTTTAAAAAGGCCTATGGACTTCAAAAACAATTTTTTTTGGTAATTTCATCATAAAACTCTTAGATAATTTAATTCTCTTCGATTTGAGCGGTGTCAGAGCCTTTGTCACTGAGTTGTGGTCGATCAAAGCAAAAATAATGGTCGTACAAGAAAATCCAAGCAGGGTTTCGAAAACTGCAAAGTATTCTCTACAAGTCGTAATTATGGGTTTTTGATAAATAAAAATTTTTTCAAAGTGTTGGTTAGAAAAAAGGTAAAAAATTGCATAATTAGGGATATAGGCCGATCAAAATCGACAATAAATTCGCAAAACATGTATCTCTGATTTTTTAGTATGTTGTTTGGACCCATTAGGGCTATGTATACCCAAGTTTGCATCTCTCAAAAAGTTGTGTAAAATTTTTTAGACACTAAAAACCGCGAAATTTTTGGACTTGTCTCAGATTCTGCTCTATAGTATCTCCTAATCCTGCATTTTTCGTCGATACGTTTTTTAAGAGCATCAAATTTGTGGCAAATTAAGCCCAACCGGAGCTCTGTAGGTCAATTGGTTACCGAATTACGACACTTTGAAAATTGGCCAGTTTTTTCAAAAATTGAAAATTTTAATTTTAGACCTTCTTTGGACCGAAATTGCGTCGAAACCATTGATCCTACGAGTAGAACTTCTAGTATATAATTTATAGGCAATTTCACTACCTTTAAATTAAGCGCACAGCGGGGTCTGTAAGCCTAGTAGTTTTCTCAAAATCGCAAAAATATAAGGTACAATCGCATTTTTCCAGAAATGTTCCATAACCTTTCCTATCTTTTGTTTTTTGGTTTGGTAATGAAAAAGAAGGCATGAAATCATTTAAAAAAACGGTGAAATGTATTTTAATATAAACATAAGTAATCAAAAGTACAGTAACTTAATCAATCAATCAGTCAATCAAATTAGTCACATAGTCAAATTCGTCGCCTTGTTTTTGATGGCCCTGGGCTGTCACTTTCGTTGCTCTCCTCAATAGGTATATCTTCCACTATTGGTGGGTCGCCGTCTTCGTCCCCTATAGGTAGGTACTCCAGTATTGGTGGATCGTCAGGGTTGTCTTGAGGCTCGTCATCGTCGTCCTCTTCAATGAAGATATAGGGCAGCGTTCTGGCACGTTTCCCCAGAGCAGGTAGCACACATCACAGAACATCTGAGTCCTGCTTTGAGGCAAATGCAGCCACCTCTGCACCCCTTCTTGCATTTGCAAGAGAGGAGTTTTAGGAGCTCAGCAGGGACAGAAGTTTGCCGACTATAGTCCGGGAGTTAACGACAGATTTCATTACACCATTTCCACAAGCTTCATTTTTTTTTTGTATACGTTATGCGTGTAACGTACAATAGTAATATAAACGTCTGCCACCGCATCCCCGCGACAGGGGTTACAGGAGAGTTACAATTGCAGCAAAAATCAACAACAAAATTTATAGACGCATACGCGAAACTTATTGTACGTATCAGTTGAAACATAAGAAGTTTAGAAAATATCGTCTGCCACCTAAATTCCACAACAAAACTTGTCTGCCACCCACATAAGTAAGCGCAAAAAAATATTTAAAAAATTTATATCCGCAAGGATGAAATTAATTGAAATGCTTCTTTTTATAGCAACAAACACGAAAATAATAGTCTGTTACAAATAAGATACTTACAACAAAGGTCGTCTGCCAAACTTATGAAGTTGCGCTCGGCAGACAGCGCGCGAGCACCGCGCTGCATCTTTATCGGCCTGAAAGACGATCGTTGTTGTTCTAAATGGTTGAAGGGCTATCATAAAGTTTTTTTTTTGTTATACATTGTTATACATTATTTTAATTTAAAGTCTGATGGAGACCTTTTAGTGTAAAAATTAAGAATATGTTGATTCGATAAAATGCTTTAAGATAAAAATAAGATATTACTGTTTTACGATGACATTCGGAGATAATTATTTATTGATTTTCATTTTATTATGTAGAAGAATCTATACAGGGTGTCATTAATAATGGTACACAGCTTAATGGCAGATTGTTAACGTCAAAATATAGCGATTGAGCCAAACATGCCTTAATCAATTGTTGCTCATTTTCGTTCTATAGGATATGTTAAAGTTGAAAAAAATATTTTCTTTTTTCATCTATATTTTAAGTATGTATGGACCAATTGTTTTGAAAATTTGTAGTTTTACTTTTTTTGAGGTAGCAAATACGAATATGCAAATAGTGTTGGGGTCACGTCTAGGGGGCGCTAGTTGTACTGTCCTGTCAAAGTAAAAATCTGTCTAACTTTTTGTATTTTACAATTTTCAATTTTTTAACTAGAAATTATTGAACTACGTTCAATTCTAAATAAAAAAGGTGTACTAGTTACAAACCGATAAACTAAATCGTTTTCGAGATACTGACGTTTTAAGTTTTTAAGAATCGGCGGGAATTAGAAAATTAGCAGGTCTTAAGATACCAAGCCTGAATTAAGAATTAAGACAAACATTACAGCAATTAAAGATTTTATTATGCATATCTTAACAAATTATTAACTTCCAGCAACTTCAATGCACTTTCTTAGCCTTTTGTTAAGATATTCTCCTCTGTAAAAAATAACGACAAGGAAAAAACTACTTCTTAATCAAATCGAGTAGAAAACAATATGGTATTGTAGTGACAGCTATTAGAATTTCCGATCATTTAATAAATAATTTAGGACATATACTAAGACTATTTAAATTTAGAGTTACACTTACTAATTAAAGAACTAATTACTACTGCAGACAATAGCTAAATGTGAAATAGAAAATAATGGGATTAAAATTAGTAATAATAAGTTAAATTACAAGAACTGCTCGAAGTGACCACCTTGCATTTCGATGCATAATCTAGCTCGACGCTTCAAAGATTTGCGAACTCTTTGGAAAATTCTAGGTGTTTGCCTTATTTCCATACACGCGGTTTCAATTTCCTCCCGTAGTTGCTGAATGGTCTCAATTGGAATTTTATAAACTTTTGCCTTAAGTTGACCCCACAAAAAATAGTCCAGAGGTTAAGGTCAGGGGAATGTGGAGGCCAGGGAACAGGACCTCCTCGGCCTATCCGTTTTTCTCCATACAACTCATTTAAGTGTTGTCTTACATCATGTAGGTAATGAGGTGGCGCCCCGTCCTGCATAAACCATATGCTTTGGCGTTCAATTAAAGGGACATCTTCCAAAAGTCCTGGCAACTAAAAAATTGTAATAATCCTCACCATTCAATCGATTAGGCAACACAAACGGTCCGATTAGCCGATCGCCTAAAATGCCTGCCCAAAACCTAAACAAAATAAGAGAAGCAAAATTCGGAATCCGCCTCGATTTTCGCAAAAATCATTGGCAGAACTGCAGACGTGGTTCGTAGTCATTCGGATTTAAAGCTTGAACACGCTCGATATGAAAAGGATGAAGTAGTTGTTCGCAAAGAATTCGCCAAACTACGGAAAAACTTATGTTATGCATATGTGCGACACTTGGATTGTCCTGCACAGCTCTCAATACTTTTCATCCATCACCGGTGTTCTTACAAATCTGTCTCTGCCACGATCACTTACTCTTGGTTGGAACGAACCATTTTCTCTTAAACGTTGATGGATCCTCTGAAATACCTGTCGAGAAGGAAGTCTTCATTCGGGTATGCTGCCGCATACAGACGCCTCGCTTTTGATGCATTTCCAGCCGCACGGCCGTACATAAAGTGCATATCTGCCATTTCCGTGTTTGAATATGACTCCATTTTATGAGTTGCAATAATGTTGTATACTTAAAATTTTCCACTCCCCACTTTTACTAATTAAACACTGCAAAGCTCAATTGACAGTTTATCAATAACTTAAATTGTTAAGCGTTATGGCAACGTCAGCCTTTTATTTGCCATGGTAAACAGATTTTTGTAATTTTTGGCCTAATAACTTAAAGAGCAAAGTAATATTCAAACTTAATTTACTCGAAAACCATTGGAAATATCGATTTGGACAAAGACAATATTTTTTACGTAAAATTGTTAAGATTTTATAAATCTGTAGAGAAAATTGTAAAAAATTGAAATAAAAAAATTACGGGCCAAAAACTCCCTTCACCAACCTAAATGGGACGCATATGATTTGCATGTCGAAAAACGGAGTAGCCCATGTTATTTAACATAAAAAGTTATGTAAGACCCATAAATTTGTTTCTATTTATTTGCGACCGTTTTGTCAATAACAGAAAAAAACCATTTTTGTTTGAGCCTTTTTAAGGGCATATAACTTCCT